CAGTTAATTTGGGAAATTGAGAAGCTAAAAATTTCAACTTGGTATGAACATTTTAAGGACATCTTATGTAACCTGTACCTTCCAGCAGTCTTGAATTAAGACCTTAGCATACAGAGTCCAAGAGAGTTAAAGATTTTCAACAACCCAGACAACAATTTCCTTTTAGTCAATGTCACATCCGAATCCATGTAAAAGATATTGTATTACAACAGATCCTTTAGGGAATTTCAAACGATTTTTAAGATTTTCTGCACAGTTGACTGAGGCAAAACAGTTAAAGTAAAAAATATTCTTGTCAATCGAATGGAGCGCAACAGGATGATTTGACGCTCACTTTCGAATGACAAAGTTACCTCTCTGAAGCAATAACATCATTTCTTCCAGAATCTAATTTAAAGAAACATACATGTTCATAACTTTGGTGTACTCCGCTCCTAATTGGGGCTTGGATTGAAATCTACTCTCGAGCACATAAAAACGCCGTAGAGTTTACTGACGAGATTCTCCAAGGTTAAATTTATTGTTTAGGATAGAAAAGCGAACGATGTAATGACCTGAGAAATCTCTTTTGATGTGAGCGACGTAATGCTGCTTACAAGAAGATTCGACCAGTTCGTGGTCGAAATCTTCGATGAGCCTAAAACATTCAATCAACTTATCAAATTTAACAATTTTACACAAGTCATGGTTGTCAGGAACACGCTCAGAGACCCCTCCGGCCACGATTCAACCCAACCTGGTCTTTTGCAAAACAATAATGAATTTGATAGACTAAAGTTTAATCTGATCCACTGATAGGACAGAAAGTGTTGTACTAAATGCTAAGAGAATATCGACAGGTTTTGAGAGATGAAATTGAGGATCATCTAATTAGATCCCTTTTGGAATATCGAAAAGGTAGCGTAGAAAGGCTTCATTAGGAACGAGATGTTTGATACAAGAAAGGTTAAATGAAATCCCTTGCACTTAAAGCATACTAAAGAAGTATCCTTTGTTGAAGAAGGTTGAAATATAGAAATGGAGATTAGAACGGCATTTTTCATGAAAGTTCTCATAATTTTGGCAATTTAACCTGAATTTGCGCGGAGTGTTCCCTAGCATTTTTTCTTTTGTTGTTGGTGACTCCTGTAGAGGATGATTATGTTTTCTGAACTCAAAGAACAAATTTGTAAAGAAAAACCAAGAAAAATCAAAAGATCTTCTAATTTTGGGAGGTCGTTTATTTTCAATCTGTCTTGTTATTAATTGTAAATTGCAGGAGGCAAACAACTTTCGACGATTCTACAATCCAGTTACTTTCAGAAATCGCTCCAAGTCTATTCAAGATATGTCGATGTTAACGAACGCTGTCTAAGAGATTAGCAAGATCATCTGAATTATTTCTATAAAGTTTGAGAATGTCCAAGATTTCATTGAAATGGTTGACTATGACGATTCGCCTTTGGTCGTACAAATCAAGAATAGTAGACCAAACCTTTAGATAATATTCATCACTTGGATCGTATTGTTGGACTTTTGTTAAAACTTTTCCTGAAAGCGAATTAAGGAGGTGATTGCATTTGACTGCATCGCTGAGATCAAATCGAGAATATATTGATGTGATAAATCTACTTTTAAAGTGTGCCCCATTTGGACAATCACCGCCAAACACTGGAATTGACATGTAAGAAATTTTAGGCAAATCATGAAGTTTGCTAATAGTGATATTACTCATTGATGCGTTTAATGTTGAATTAGCGACCTGCGAAGTACGATCAGCTTGCATGTTCGCAACAGTACTGCCTACCGCGTAATAGCGACTGGCGGTTTCTAAAAATTCTATTAGATAAAGGTTGTTTGTATCTACCGAGGAATATTTGTTATTGTATCTTATAATATCGATATAGAGTAAATCTAAACGTTTATATCGTAGCGGAGCGTTAAAAGGGTCGGGGTTGGGTCCGTTCAGATACTTCTCTAGTTTGACTACTTGAATCTTGAAGGAAATACCTTTCTTTACTATGTGATCAATACGATTTTGTTGACCTTTGGTAAGACCTATTATAAAAAAAGAAATTCCAAAATTTTAATTAACTACTCTTAGCTTAAGAATAAATTTAATGGAGTGAAATTCAAATAACTGCACACGCTTAATGGGAAAAAGTCGTGAGGCATAAAAAACTCATATTACTTAATGTAAACCAACAAAGATTGTACGTTGCACGGTATATGATTTCAAAATCGACACGATACGTTAAATATTAGAATATATAGCCATAATTTATATACATACAGTAGATGTAGGTAGTAAAATTTTGAGAAGGTAAATAGCCGTTCAGGTTTTCACGCCGTTCGACAACAGGCGGTTGCCGTGTATTTGACAGACAATTGCCAAATTTATGACACGTTCGTGACGGCTGCCAAGTTACGCCATTTTTACGACGGCAACGGATAGTATGTAAGAAAATTCTAGTTACCTGAAAAAAGGGCTGTCGAAGCAGGGTCAGTAACAGCCTGTGGATGTAATTACTCAGTCTCTGTACGTTGAACGAGCAACATCGCTCTTAAAATAAACCAGTCTTATTCAATCCATCTTTAGTTATTTATTTAAACAAATACCTAATCATTTCTATTAATATATGAATTTTATTTACTACGGATGAGTTTTCGTATAAGCGTATTGACATATAGTACAAAGATGAGAAACAAGAAAAACATACGACGTTAAAACGAGTGACACTTGCGCGTGCAATTCATTGTCAGTCGAATAATGGTATGTGTGGTACATAAATGATGCAAGACTACGTGTTAACGCGCATCGCACAATCCGCATGAATCACACCTACATCATGCAACATACAACTGATGAATGTCGATTCCGCCGGCAAACCTTTTGGAGATGATCGCCTAGTGTGCTAGTTAGTTATAAGAGGGTTCAGGTGTTTCTAAAAATTATACATAGACAGCCGAAGGATAGCCTTGCTAATGCCGGGAATAATACTCTGTTGTTACAAGCTAGTTTTCAGAACTTACGTTTTACGACCTCTTGTATCGTAAATAGCCCAACCCAAATAAAAGAATGTAAAGTGTGACGGCGGACCATTTTTTTCTTAAAATTTTAATATTTCTGTATAGCATTTAAGACAAGCGGAGAAACGAGAACAGTCGCTCAAAAGCGAGGGGGACCGAAACAAGTTATTAGAATTTTTCCCCGAAAAACAATAAAACCGCGACTGCATCCGAGCCAGCGTTCTCAAACGCATGCAAAGAGCGTGTAGCCCCTTGTATGTGTTTAACACGTGTCAACATGTCGATGAGAGGAGAGAGTCATAAAACTGCGACTAACATCCTGTAAGCCACTTTTCCAACGGATTTTTCCTCCTTTTAGAATGCTCAAAAATTTACCATTGAAATGAAATAAAATTAAAATTATCTAAATACAATTGTTTCATTATCGCAATACATCCCGGATAATTATGACTTCTCAAACCTCTCATCGAGTTCTCATTTCAAAGCTAGGATTAGTTAGAAAATAAGAAAAACAGAGAAAAATCCAAAAAAAAAAAAAATTATTATATACGCGCACTATATTGTTAAACGGATTTTTATTGTAAGAAATTAGGAGATAATCGCCTTGTTAAGTTACATAAGTTTTGTATTAATACTCCGATTAAAACTGAAATAGAATTGTATGATTAGTGAAAAATTTAATACAATATTGTTCCTAGCACTAAGTAGCTTGTAAGTTATCGAGTTTACAAAAAAGAATAATTTTTAAGTTATTGTAAATCCGCTTATTGGATAAATCTTAGTTGAGAATGGTACTCGAGGAGCCATCTCACGAGCCAAGGCCTGTACCTCTGCGTTCGCTCCTCCGATTTTCTCCACGCCCCCGCTCCAATTAGGGCCCGAAAAATCAGTGAAGAAAATGAGAAGAGACAAATAGGCCAATGAAAGCATCATCGCCTACTCCACTCCTCCCAAAGCTAAGACGCTAAGAGAGGGACTTACCACCCAGCCACCCCCAGTGTATAAAAAGAGATGTACGAGCTTCGAGCGACAGTCGTGGAGAAAAAAATCAGAGTCGTGGAGAAAAAAATCAGAGTCGTGGAGAAAAAAATCAAGAGAAGAAAATTCAACATTGTGCTATCAGTGAAGGAGCAGAGAGCCAAGCAGCCAAATAACAGAATAAATCTGGAATTGAACAAGGAGAAGACATCCAACACCAAACTCAACAAAACTTCTTAATAAAAAAAAAGACAGTAAGCGAATAAGAAAAATCCTTTATTTCTATACTTTCCTCTCTCTTTTCTCTAGCGAAGTAATAGCTCGTGTTTCCCTTTTTTTTTATTAGCTGGAGACTACTTTTGATAGGCTCCAGGTGTTAATATTATTAGAAAATCCGGGCACTACTATTGATAGGACCCGTGGTGCTTCTAGCTCAAAGATTACGACTTTCGATCGGAATCTGAGAGCGGAAGTATAGGCTCTGTGGCACTTTCCCCCTCGATTTAGACAATTTCTTGACGAGTGATCCACGCCAGTTTAGGCGAGAAATCGCAGTTCTGGCGACAACGAATCCTGAGACTGCGCTAAGCCTCAGCCGCACCTGAGCTGTGTCGTTGCCACGACGTCACAAAAGAATATCTAATCAAAGTTTTGCGCGAGTAAATTTTTCAAAACACAATTAAAAAATATCTGTTCTATACTTAGATAATCAAATTTTTGTCCCCTGCATGCATTCGAAATTATTAATAAACAGCTCTCATTCGAAGAAAATTATAATTGAAGAATTGATTAATATGTTGTAAAATAAAGTTCACAGAAATATTAATCTCAATTAAATTGGATTATTGGCGTTTCGAATGTTAAAAAAATTAAACAATGAACGTTGTCTTTAATAATAATTACATTCATTATTTGTATTGACATTTATAATTACGGTAAATTAAAATTAGTATAGAAACAATTATTACATTGCCTCACACAAGTAATTTATATCATTAATTTTTAATTTTCAGCCGTCGTATTGAAAATTGTTTCGAAGAAACTTATAAAAAGGAATCAAAGGAAAAGGAAAATTATCAGCGAATAAGAACTTGCATTACTCAACATCAAGAAATTATCGAGTAATCATTTCTATTTTTCATAATGAATTAATTATCGGTGTAGGTTCAATTTCAGTTTTTGAACTAATAGAAATAAAATTACATGTATTCAAGACGTATGCAAAATGAATAGTTGAAAGTTGCGCCCTTTTTGATTATTTTTATTATTCATATTTTAATAGCTGACTACTTTCCGTCTAAAATGTATTATTCTTCTTATATAAAGTAAGCTTTTGTTGCACAATCTTTCAGCCATTAAATCATTGATCTAAGATACCTGGCTGGAAAATCACGTACGGAATTTAACTGAATGCCTTGTTTAATTTCACATGGAATTAGTGAATGTCTATATTATTCAATAAAAACGTATATAAATAATAAATATGAATATTTGAAAAAACTAATAACAGAAGCGAAACATAATTAATTCAAACTAGAACTTCACTAGAATGACTTCACTAGAATAACTATTCAATGACAAATTGAAGAAATGTTTCTTCCAGTTCGTAATTCTTTTAACTTGTTTTGAAAACCATTTTGAATAGTTATAGTAGAGAATTGTGCATAATTATATGCTGGTATGATTAGTTAGAACTAATATGATTTGTAAAAAAGTTATTAAGTAACTATCAGCAACAATATCTCGCCAATAGTGAGCATATATCATCTTTTGGATATCACACTGAGAATAATTACAAAATTTATAATTTTAAAAACTATTGATGATGCGGACATACATATGCTTAACGTTTATAATGGCACGATTATACCGATGAGTTAATACTGAATTATAAAATGATAAAATGAATTAATGAATTTTAGTAGAAAATGAGCTTTTTTAATTGAGAGACCTAACTCATAAATCATGCAGAATAACGTACAATATTCATATATTTTTTTCGAACGTATTAGTTATATTTAAGTTTTAAAACGTGAGCTAAAATTGCTGACTTAAAAAAAACGAATAAGTAATAGTTTTTTAAGCTGTGACGGAGAATCACGGCTCGACCGTTGCTCTCCGCCGGGCTCTCACCGATTCCCCGTGTGCCTCGCCGAGCGGGGAGAGTGCGCCAGTTGAGCACACTCTAATTACTCCGTCTCGCTCTTTTCTTTTGAGGTGCGACGGCAACGGCGGCGATTAGAGGGAGCCAACGAGGAGAGCGTAACGAGAGAGAGAGAGACAGAAGATAGGGGAAAGCCGGCGAGTCGCGGGCAGGCCTGCGCGCGCATCTCGCCGGCTTGAGGAGAGGAGATCGGCAGTGTCTGCTGAAAAGTCGTACGATCCGCCGCGCGCACACAAATTTTCCGAATTACCTGTTTTTTGTCTGTGAGTTCCCGCGCCCTCGCCGAAGATTCGAGACATATGTGATACGTGCCCGGTGCGCGGAGTGTTTCGTTTGAAGTTTCTTATAAATTACGAAGCCGGCACCGGTGCACGTGGGCGACCGGCGAGGTGACGCGGGCGTGTGCGCGCGTGCGGCCATCTTGGTGAGCTGGTGAGTGCGAGTCTCGCGCCGATTTGTTTAGCTGGGCGAAACGAAGCACAACGCGACACACATATACACGCACACGCACACTCCTCGCAACCACAGCAGACGAACACATTTGGAACATACTAACAACAGCCACAACAATAGCAATAAACGTAGCAGTAACAACAACGATAACAACAACAGTAATTTACCAACATTAACAACGACACCAACATTCACAATCGACAACAACACCGTAGCAAGTGACGAGGGAGAAACGAGGATACAAAGGAGAGCGATTGCCTAGATATCTTAATTGTATTTGCAGAGCATTTTGGGAGACGAGCATAGGAGTACCGAGGCGGACAACGCAGCTAACGCGAGGCAAGGTCGGTGTAGTGTTTTCTCCTTCTCTCTCTCTCTCTGTCCGAGGCGTCGAATAAACACCTCGCAGTTCGGCAGCCCTGCCGATTGCGAGGTCGTTCATAATTGTGTCCCGGGCCGTCTATTTTATTTTATTTTATTGTAATTTTCTCTTTTGTACTTCGGTTTTCTTTAATTTGTAGTTTCGCTTTATTTTATGATTTTCTCTTTATTTGTATTTCTTTGTATTTCTTTGCTTATTCGCCTTAATGATTTCGTAATTTCTTTTTCTTTGTATTTTCTTTATTTCACTTTGTTAACCGATTATTTGATTTGATCCGATTATTTAATTTCATGTTGGCTTTAGTTACTCTTTTATTTTGTCATTAATACAATTACTATTAAAGCTCGTTGTCACACTTACTTCCGCCCCTTTCTTTTTTCTCCCTTACCTATGTCGTCACTCCCATCCTGAATATAACGGTTCGCGTACGATTAACGCGCGTGCTCGGCGCGTTATTTAACCGCGGGAACGATCTTTGCTTCCCGAATCCCCGAATAAATAATTTGTACGGACAGTCACGAGCCATCCGTTGAGGGACGACTGGATTTCACCGTTACATGGCATCCCTTGTGGGGATAAGCGGTGCGTACGCGTGATCGGGTATCCTTGTGTGCCTTTTCGGACGTTTATTCAGGAGTAACTAGCGGCGACCTGATATTGTGGTTATCAATTGTTTCTATTGTGTGTGCGTCGTGTTTTCCAGTGGATAGGTTGGGAAATTCGAGCAAAACGCCTGAGAATTCTTGGACTTTTACGAATGCGAAAGACCAGTGGCTAGGGGAAAACGCATCGGTTGAGGTGCTCAAGTCGCGTGTTGGCAGTACTGCCAACGGGGCTTACCTGCATTTTTTGCCTCGAGATCAAAGCCTGATAACGATGCCGCCCCTCCCAGGTAAACAAGAATTGTTTATTCGTCGCCTTAAGAGGCAGCCTGAATTGCAGCAACTGCGCGCGCGCATTCTGCGTATGCCCCCACAGCAACTCACTGAACTGATGCTCCAGGAGGGTTTGAGTGCCGAGGGGGAGACGACCGTCCTTCAGGATCGATTTTTCCGGGCTTTCGTTATGGCCGCACGGCCAGAGACGGATGCTCCCCTTTTTCCCGAGGATTTCCTATCGGGACGTCTACCGGAATCGGGTCAGGCCGGTCAGGCAGGGGACCGGGACTCAGGGGTCGATCAGAGCCTGGCTACGCTGTTGGAGCAGGCCTTGACTCGGGAGGCGAACGTCAACCCGTCGGGAGGAGGGGACACCTCCCTCCTTCATCCCTCCGGACGGAAGAAAGTCCAGCACTCCCCCCCCCGCGGCAGGGGTAGCGGAGCCGTTTGACTTGGCCAATCGTACCCTGATCGACGCGGGGGACGCGAGTAGTTCTTCGGGCACCGAAAGAGGGGGAAGGCATGAAGTCTCCGTGTTAGGTCCGATAGATTCGCGGGCGGATGCGACGTACGCAAACAGGAAGGACGGGCTGGGAGCAGCGACACTACCGCGTGTGGTACCCTTGGGTCCTGCACAACCAGTCCCCGAACAGCCGAATCCCGTTTTGCCCCCCAGTCTCGCCATGATCGACCCAGCGGTCTTGAACCAACTAGTCTTGGTGCTTCAAGCGTTCGGGTTTGGCGCAGGGGGTCAGGCCCCAATAACGCATGAGGCCCTACCGCTTCGGGTCCCCATTGATATGCCGGCTACTCGCACACTGCCAAGGTGTACAGCGACTGGCATGGGGCAGGAGGAGACCCGGGGACAGTCCCCCGGACGTTCGAGCTCCGGCGGCCTTGCTGACCGACTTGAACGAATGATAGCCACTTCCGGCGCAAGTGGGGGGAAACGCCGACCCACGACTTTCCGGCGTCGTCGCCAAAGTCGTCTAGCGAGTCGGATCGAGGGCGATTACGCCGGGGAAGGCGGCTCGGCAGAAGGCGACGGGAAGCGCGGGTGAGCTTTTCGGAGTCGAGTGAGGTGAGCACTCGGAGCTCCATGAGCAGCCCTGAGGAACCGCGTTCTCGTCGCCGATGCCGGTCTCGTCGGGGCGGTCGGGCCAGGTCGAGTTCTTGCGACTCCAGACGGGGCGCATCCAGGGGACGTTTGAACGGGAAGCGAGCCGATGCCGTGACAGCGTTCCGCACTTGGAATTTAAAATTCAACGGGGCACTGGGTTCGGCTGCGGAACGTTTCCTGGAGAAGCTTGAGCGTTGCGTGCGGATGTACAAACTCCCGGACTGCGAGGTCTTGCCGGCCCTGGATGTGATTTTCTTGGACCGCGCGGAGGTATGGCTGGCCAACAAACTCGGAACGTGGCGGACGTTCCGAGATTTCGCAGACAGTTTCCGCCGACACTACTGCCGAGCTTTGTCAAGGGAGGAGCTATATGACGTATTGGCTCGCCGAACGCAAGCCCAAGACGAGTCCATTGGCGACTACCTGACCGCATTTGAGAGCGTCATCAGAAGGATGAGACCCCCTCCCTCGGAAAGAAAACAAGTCCGACTGGCCAAAGCGGGTCTCAACCCGGAATACGGAAGGTATATCAGGGAAAAGTCCGTGCATACCCTGCGCGACTTGGAGTATTACGGCGAGAAATTAGAGAAGCATCGTGAATGCGAGAAGAGATGGCACCCTCCGTCGGTCAAGGACAACCTACCAGTGGAAGACGCCGCCTATCGGGGGAAAGGAAAGAGGGCGCACGTAGCAGCCAATGCCGTGGCTACCCCGACGAAGGTGCCTGTAGCAGATAAGGCCAAAGCCAAGAAGAAGAAGAAAAAGGGGAAAACCTCCGGCACCGCCACAACCGGACGGTCATCCGGTAGTGAATCGGGGGGGCAGTGTGCGGCGAGCAGCCCAGTGCAGCCCACATTGCGGAAAAGCCCCAACAACCAGGCTCAGGGGAACACCGGGGGTGCGGGTGATAACCCGCGAACTGCCCCATCGTTACAGGCGCCAACGCAGGCTGCGAGGCGCCAGCAAAACTCAAGGACCGGACAGGATCGAGCCAACTTCCAGGGGAGGTGTTATGGTTGCAATGGAGAAGGCCATCGAATCTCGGAATGCCCAAGTCCTGGCCGAAACCAGACTAACCCAGTGCAGGGAAGCCCCATCTGCTTCCGATGTCATCAGCCAGGACACTAC